GGTTCTAACTTCAGCCGGCGGTGAGATAGAATGGGTGAGATAAGGAGGCTGCTTGTACTTACTACCTCCTNAAAACACGGTTCCGTAGAATATTCCGTGTTTTTTCGATCGATAAGAACCACCCTTTTTTTACTACCTCCTTCCAGCAATTTTCACCCTATGAATAGTCATTTTCACAGCTCCAACAGAAAGGGATCTACCCCACTACGATAAAAGATGGCGAAGCGGGCATGTGATGCCCTATGCTCATACAAATCGACAGCAGAAATCCCGACATCAGTCGGGGCACATAGACGAGATACCGCGATTTCAAAGAACTGTTCCCCATCACGTCCCGAACCGAAACAATATTTTTAGAACCCGAACCACCGCGCCTGCCAAGGGCACGTGCCCTTTTGCTCACACCCTTTCACAGCCTAGCACGACGCCAGAAGTGAGCAGCGGAGCAGCATTATTAGTGGTATCCAGTGACCGTAGAAGCATCTGTGGAAAAGGAAGGTGTGTTTACGAGGGCCTCTGCGTGTTTTCTAGTCCACGGGTCTCTGACACAGCGGTCTGTTTTGGCAGGCGCATGTAAGAAATATTTGAGCGCGATAAAAGCCATAGACGCCATCGCGGACTGCAGAAAGGCCAGAGAAACGTCCCCGTAGGTGCGCCAGTGACCTCCAACGCTCGAAGTTTTGTTTTTGATGCCCCTCTCGCGTTTCTCGTTGTCGCACCGACGTGCGCACGTGCGGAGCTGTTCGCTTGGATAACACAGGGGGTGCTAGCAACCGTTTCCACCTCCCCCACCCCTCGGAAACAGATTTTGTGGGTGTCACAGGTACCCATATGCTCCCAATTGTGTATATTGGGCCTGTATGGGTGTGCACCCGTAGGCCCGCACGCTACTCACTTGAAATTAGAGGGGTTGTTCTCCGCGAGCAAACGTTCGGGACCAAAACTCGGCGCCAAAATATCGCCTGACCTAACAAAAAATATGAGCGTGTGCGCCTGACCCCCATCTCAAATGCTGCCTGATTTCAATTTTTTCGGAGCCGATTTGGATCTTTTTGGCGCCAAACAAGCTTTACAGCAGTTGTGGGGGGAAAAGTGTAGAGGTATGTGCCCACCGAGTATCGCCAAATGCCCCGATGACGCTCAAATTTTGCACACATGTGCACCTAGCCCGTCCCGAACGTTTGAAAAAACAAACGTTTGAAAAAACAAACGAAGCAAATCCGAGCTGATTTGGATCTTGAAACCTATTTTCATGTATACTGCAGCGCCTTTTCAGTCTCTTTTGCTGTACTCCGCCTCAGATTTTTTTTGAGCCCTGAAAATTGGCACGTGTGTACCATGGTCGCACCTGCCCATCAGCGAAAGAAAAACGAGCGAAATCGGTGCCCGCGTCGCCCTACAAGCACCAAACGTCCGGCTACACTTGACGCAAAATACCACCACCCCTTGTCCGCTTACTCCAGCCCAAGCTTCTCGCAAATGGTGCCATGACCGTGAAATGTGCCCTGTTTGTGCTCCCGCCACCTTTGCCTACCATTCGCAACTTCTTTGAGCCGTATCCGAGCAGGTGTCTTCGAGAAGCGCGCCCGTGCGATGAGATGCTCACGGGACTGTAGTGTAGTCGCCAATCAGAAATCGGACAGTGAATCAGTCACGTTATTTGCACGATTGCTGACCAATCAGCAATCGTGCACGTATCGTACAGAGTCGTGCTACAGTATTTCCAAGTGTTTTTGTACAATTGGAGCACGATTCAAGTTGTCCGGGAATTTTGGAGAGCTCTTTATACAGTAGGTTCAAGACCGTCCTACGTATTTTTCCAAGGCAGCCGGAGGCCATTGTTGCGCCCAGAACCGCGCGAGCCCCTCGGAAGCCACGCCTCTCGCACGGTGACACCCGGTCGGATCGTGTCACGGACCGCTCTGTTTCTAATTCGCCGCCCTCGGAGGCAGGCGAGCGACTTCAGACATTGCCGACCACGTATTTAGCTTGTCGCTCTTATCGCAGACCGAAAGCTGCCGCGATGTCATCGCATCCACCGTCGGTGGAGCATTCTCGTCGTCATCGTCGCTACCGCCTGCTCCCGTTAGCCCCTGGCCTTCTTTTGGACACGCCTAAAACCCTGCGAGGGAGTCCATCTCCGTCACCCATGCTCACTAGGCTATACGGAATCACTGTTAGGAACGTCCGTGCGTTGCGGCAGGCAGTAAGTATGCTTTCTCCCTATGCGTAAGACCTCCAACGGTCCAGCGGCATACATTGTGGGATTCCGCTGCGAGTGCAAGACAGCAAGCAATCAATGTCCCGCGTCGTTGCTTTTTCTTGTAAAGCGTGATTGGACACTCTACAAACGACTGGACGAGGCTATTGGCTCGGCATTCTAACTCATTGTAAATGCCCATGAGTAGTTGCGCTTACAAACCACTCGACTTCTACATTCCAAACCTCCCGCGTACATACTTGCGAAATGCTGTTGAGGCCGTGGGTCATGCGAGCATGCCACGCTACCATGTTTTTGCACACCTGAGGACCGCTCGGAGTGAACGAACGCTCGGGCGACCTTTCTTCTGGTGAATTGGTGGGTCGGCATTTGATCTGTAGGTCGATGGCACTATTGAAGTGCCGAGAGCGTAAGTCTGCTCGGCAAATCCATTCTTGATCGACACTAGCCAGAGAGAGAGAGATA